TCTCTCTCTCTCTCTCTCTCTCTCTCTCTCTCTCTCTCTCTCTCTCTCCAACTGAGTTTAGTTCATTTTCGCCTTGGTTCAGGATCAATGGGTATTTTTTTATTTGAATCATTAATGCAGTCGTATTCATGAAACATGTATCGTACCTCGGACATTCCCTCCATTTTCATTTGCGACCGATAGATTTGATTCTAACGTTCGTGTGTAGAGTTGGTTAACGGTGCATGGAATGGTTTGCAAGTTACATTCGTCTACGATCGATGGTAACCATTGGATTACGAATTTTTATGCGTTTATGCGAAATTGCACGTAATGCACAGCCAGAGTACAGTATTCTTCACAATGTTTTCTAAGGGAGATTATTTTCCATTGCAATTCCGCTTTTCTAATTACGCTCCTACAGACTTGGAACCGCGTACAGATCCGCGGTCTAATAATCATGCTGGTCGAGTGCACGTGCAGCTCGAATAAACGCTTACGAAATTCGATGCTGTGTATTATAATACGGTAGTACCTCGATGATTCACACGTAATCGGATGCACAGCCCGGATAATCGAACAATAAAACAAATGGAGAACAGCGCGACACCGTTCCGAACGATTTCGAGTAATCGAAGCTCGAGTGACCGAGGTTCCATCGTGTCATCGTCGTTTCTCTATAATTTTCCGAAATTGCCCTATAAAAATTCCTGTTATAGAGTTCTATAACAGGTCTGGCTCGTCTATCGCCGAAAACCGAAGGAACCGACAGTCACTTCGCTCGGTTACGTTTTATCCGCTATGAATCGCATGAGACGCGATCGATTGGAATTTTTCGATTACACTGCTAACGAGGTAACGGAGCTTTACATGTCCCTTGATTCATCGATCATTCGTTCTCGTCGTTGTCTTCCCGTGTTCCCGTCTTTCGCTTTTATTTTCCTTCTCGTCTCGGTCAACGTGGTAGAGTATTGTCGCGAGTGCTCGCTTATAGGCGCATAAAGTATGGAAATTGAAGCTCCGTGTTTTTACTCCGGGGATGACACCGGTCGACCAGGTCTATTTCTTTGCAGTCCTGGTCGTCCGAGGGGCAACCGTAGCACTGGTAGCAATTGCAAATCATACCCTCGCCGCAGACGCCCCATTCGTTGCTCATCCCGCCGCAGGTCTCGCCGGGGCCCTGCAAACGAAAAGTTATTTCCCGTATTCGTCTCGCGAACAAGAACATTACAGAGTAGAGTCTCCGCTGTACGAACCGATTTGAGATCAAAACGATTCGGATAACAGAACGACGCGAGATCTCGATTATACGAAGTTCATTGGAACCGAGACGGTTTGGATGATAGAACGATGCGGTAGGATCTCGGTTAACCGAACCAACGGCGAGCAAGATGGTTCGGATAATGAATAGTAATTAATTGTTAATCGAACGGTGAAGCAAATGAAAACCGACGCACCGTTGGTTCGAGTAACCAAGGTTCTACCGTGTAACGAACCAGTTAACGATTCGATAGCTGACCTTTGCGCACACTTCACCGCAAGAAGGTATCGTCTTCACACCGAACTTGCAGTCGCCACAGGTCTCCCCGCAGGGTTCGCATAAAGGATGCCTTTCTCTTCTCACTTTGATCGACGGATACCCTAAACACTTGTCGAACCTGGTCAAGCACAATGCGTTATCATTGGTTCGTCGAGCAGCCCTACCGATTCACATTCGATAACCGTTAACCCTTTGCACTCGACAGTCTCCTCGTCGCGCTCGTATCCTTATCGAACGTCGACGTTGCATAGAACCGATGGAAAAAGAGCAATCGAGGGAAACAAAAGTGTTCCACTCTGATACTTCCTCGCGATCGAACGTCCACCGTCGAAACCGGTAAATCCCGCGGCATCGTGTGCAAAGGATTAATTCCGTAACGCGGCGCCGAAATCTGCGGTCCCGATCGCGCGACTAGAACCGTTTATCGCGAATCGGCGCCGAAGAGAAGCTCTCAGGACAAAAAGGTTCTTACGCGAGTACAACGAGTACCAGTACCGCCACGCAAATCGTCTGTATGGCCGACATTTCGCTTCGTGGATCTGCAACAAAATTCAAATCACCCGTTAATCGCGTCTGAACGCGGAACGACGCCCGTTTTTCGCGCCGACGAGGGGGGAACACGCGGCCTCTCGCCCCGGATTATTCCTCGCGTGCCGCCGCCGGACCGACGACACGCGGGGCGGTTGTAACGCGGAAAAGAGAAGAAAAAAAAGAAACCTGTGTACCGGTGCGCGCCGAGCGCGTGAAATTACAGCCCCGACGAAAGTCCGGCGATCCTCCGACGAACCGTTCGACCAGTTCCATTCTATTTCCTTGTAAACGAAACAACGAGTACCCGTTATCTCTGCCTAATTGCTCTTATTGTTCGTTTTCTAATCGATTCGATATGTGCACATTTCGAGCAGAGGATGGCTGGCGACGTGTTCAATGAGCGACGTCTCGATTTCTATCCTTGATCCAGTTTTTTCTTTTCTTTTTTCTTTCCCGCCCAGACTCGCCGGGGTTTGAAGTGCACGGTTGTCGGACGCGAAATTCGCGAAAGGCCAGACGCCAGGCGCGGGCGTGCGTGCGTGCGCGCGCGCGCGCGCGCTCGCCTCCGATCACGTTCAAGACAAAGATCGCCGGCCATGCGATTCATTTATCGGCGACCGTGTTGAAACGCGAAGGCGATTTTCCTCCTGCTCTTCGACCTTTTGCCGATTCATCGTCCCGCCGGCTCACTTTCTTTCGCCGTGCTCTACCGGTTTCCCCGGATCGTTACGCGCGTTGCACGCTGCGCTAGAATGTTACCATTCTACGAATCTCGGTGCGTTGCGTACGCGTGTTATTGAACAATAATAATAATAATAATAATAATAATAATAATAATAATAATAATAATAATAATACAACAGCAACAGTAATAATAATATAACAGCGACAACAACAACAACAACAATAATAATAATGAAGATAACGATAAATTTATTGACGAAAACCCTTTGATACAACAGAAACAATAACAATAATGAAACTGAAAATAACACATAGCATGCTTAAAGAATATCAATAAATAGTGAGTCGTATAATACAATGGGTGCACGAGGGTTAAAATCGGTCTCCTCGTAGAAGTCATTTCGAACGGTCCGCGGTAACGTATGGAAACCCCCGTCGGACGGGGACCGGTCGTGTCGGATCGGTCGCCCGGAAGAGATTCGTTTCCTTGGAAAGTTCCGTTACAAAAGCGATGACCTTGCGGGCGTCAGCTGATCGACGCGTGGAAATGCGGATGAACGTTCGATTTCGAAAAGCGCCGGTACCGTGGTATTTGTTTAAAATTCCCGCGTGCGAAGGGGGAGACTTGGAGCCTCGCTAAACGGTCAGCTCGGACGGAGGAGGACAACCACGCTCGGCCAGCAGCCCCCCTCCCCCGGTTTCTCGTCTACTAAGAATAGCAAAAGGATTTGCGTTGGTCGTGATCGATGCCAGATTCTCTTTCAGCATCTTCGCTTCTTCTTTCCTTACCTATTTACCTGCCTATCTAGATTTACATCTCTACGCGCATTCTCGTCCCCCGTGCCGCCCGTTACCCCGTGGCCGCTTTCTCCCGTTAAACTCGTCGTCTGTCACTCTCGTCGCTCTATAACTCATTAAAGTTGCTCTACGACTAACCACGCTGTGGTCCTCCGTGTCTCTGCAGAATCGGCGTGTTAAAAAAACAGACGCATAGCGGATAATCCAGTTTCCCCGTGCTACTGTCGAGTCGAAGAACACCCTCGGCGAGACGAGAACATGTTAGAGTATGTTAGATCGGACGAACGAGTCGCTGCTGAGAAAATGGAAACCCGTGCAACACGTTAATAACGGAATAATTAATAATCTGCCGATGTTACTTCGCGTCCGTGGCAGGGGTCGCTGTGTACCGTTCACACGGAAGGAGGGTAACCCCGGAAACCGCGACGATAACGAACGCTCGACAATTTACGAGAATGTATTAACTACCCATCGACATTACCGCACACGTTCGCGTACACGCACGTCGCGCGTGCATCTGGTGTATCTATCGTATGCAAAGAAAAATACTATCCACGACACCGTACACGATTTTCATCTGCAAACGTGCTGATACCGCATCTTTCCCGTTTTCTCCCTTCGTTAACGATACGTGTGACTTTAATGTCCGTCGTTGCTCTGAGAACACGCTACCGGTAGCGCGAGAGACGCTGAACCGTTGCCGATCGTCTAAAAAAAAACAGAGAAAAACAGTGAAGACAGGACCGCCTGTTTACTTCCGCTTACGTTGCCACGCTAGTGTTTCGTCTCCTTATTAATTCTGCCAGTGGCATTAACAGCTTCGCTCTCGTTGCCCAGCATTCGCGTCGAAGGTGTCTTAACCGACGCACTGAACACGAGAATAAAGAGGTTCCTCTAAAATCGTAATCTCTCACGATCTTCTCTCGCCGTTCCCTCGTTAGCGTCGTCTTCTTCTTTCTGTTACGGTCCCGGTACCTCTTGCACGGCCCTTTACTCGCCCCTTCGTTTTCCCGCCCACCCTAGCCATTCTTCTCGATTACAGGTCGTTCAATGAAAACGATCCTGTCCCGTGGATGCGAGAGAAAAATGGAAACGCAAGGTGACCCGACGATCTCATTGCCGAAAGAATGGACGAGTAACAGAACGACCATTGTGCGTACAGCGACACGATCGGTGCTCACCCTAAATTGAATTCTAGTCAACGAAGAGTTCTAATGATTATGCTTTCGAGAAATTCTCCCTCTGATAGACACACGGAGCGGTGAAAACGCCGAGACGTTGAATGTGCCATTGAAGCCAAGTGCGCTTTGTTTTATAGGGACCTGAACAAAGGGAAGGAGAGGGAGAGGAGCGTAGGGAGAGAGAGACAGGGAGAGAGAGAGAGGGAGCATAAATTCACCCGGGAAGACGCAATGTATACCCGGTGTCTCTTCTCCCTAGTAGAGATCCTGGTTGCCATGTGAAATTCTTGCTTTCCGTCCAATTATATCCGAACGATGTCGTAAATATTCCTCTGAACACGTCTTTTCCAATTTCAGTGAATTTTCTCGACGGACGTCTATTAATATGTAAATGCTCTCGGGTTGGCCGTTACGAAAAACGAAGATGATCATTCATCGACGCGCGTCATTTGCACTTGTTACATCCTATTAACAACCGCCCTAAATCACCCTGTCAACTTTATTCGCGCGATAATGTATTTAATCAACTGTAGAATCGGCGGACGCCGAAACGAAATCATCGGACGTTCGTATATGTTTCAGAGAGACGTCCAGCAGGAAACCGACAGAGGGGGAAGAAAGGAGCGCTTCGATTTCAACCCTTTACACGCGGAAAGCGTTGATCGTTATGCTTATCGATTGCCACGGAGAGATTTGACAGAGGAGGTTTTTCTCTCTTCGGCTAGCGTGGCAGTTCTAATTTCTTTTTATTTTTCTTTTTCCCCTTTTCTTTTTTTTTCTACGAAGATACCGTACCCGAGATGATCTGGCAACGAGTCAGCGAATTCTTAACGTACATTTGCGAACGGATCGACCGAGCAGAGACCATCTTCCTTCAAATGAAGAATATTTCTGTGATGACCAACCAAATTCTATTTTTGAAAATGGCCGATCTAATATACCTGCACAAGCCCGAGATGACGTATCTTTACACGTTAATGTTTTACAACGTGATCACGTACTGCGTTAGCTACATTAAGGAATTGATCGAGAAGGAGGATTGGTCGCCGTACATAACTCTCACGGAAAGATCGAAGATCAAACATTTAGCGATGTCCGCTACGAAAATAGTACTGGAATGGACTAAGGCCGTTACATTCGTCGTAACGTTAACGTTTATGCTGCTCGTGTTCGGTTTGGAGCAGGGTCTCCATAATTACAAGTAAGCGATAACGATAGAAGTGAAACAGGGAGAGGATGAGAGTTCGAACGGAACAGAATATTCGAAATTATCCTTCCGATATCTGTTTTTGTTATAGGCCGTCGATATTTTACACCGTGGTAACGTGGGCTTATTATTCAGCGACAGAGAAGGTCTTCGTTGAGATGTTTCCATCGATTTTCAAGTTCTTCCAAGTGGAAGCCTTCGAGAACATGGAGGAACTTTATGCTCCTGTATTACTAAGATCATTCACCATCATTGTATCTGTTTTACACATATCCCTCCTTCTGCCAACGATGTCCTGGAGATTCCTGCTTGTCTCGAGCTACATGAACATTTATTTGAGATTGAAAGACCTTTTGAGAAAGTTCGCGCCTCTGTTGCAACGTGAGCAGCAATTTCTAAATTACTACAGGAAAGCAACGCCTGAAGAAATTTTTCGTTTCGACGATGTTTGCGCTGTTTGTCTTTGTAATATGGTCAAAGCGAGAACAACACCTTGCCACCACCTTTTCCACGCGGACTGTTTACGTCGATGCCTTAAGATTAGCGATACGTGTCCTTTGTGTAAAAGAAAGCTGAAATTCCAATATGAATCGGTATCGGATCATCAATAAATCACAGAATTACTAGTTCTGTATCTTTTGTTGTTTTAATCGAACGACAGCTAAATCATCGCTACTTGATGACTAAGTTTTCTCTGTGTCAAATTTCAAATTGAAAATAGTCTTATAAAATGTGAAAAACGAAGAGGGTAACAACTCTTTCATTTACGTAAAAACGCGAACATATTAAACTTTTGTTCTTTTGCATTTTACAATTCTTCATTAGTGATATTGATTCTACTTGCTTAGGTTTCTCCTATGTATTTAATTGAAATATCTGTATATGCACCATCTGGAGCTTCATAATCAGGTATCGCTGGAGTATTCACTGGTCCAAATACACTGTATGGCAGAAATGATTCATCAAACTGAAAATGAAATAGAATTTATAAATAGTTGTTAAATATGGACATCTATAGAATTATTTTGTACCAATTGTTAATATGAATAAAACAAATTTCCATTGTATTACACTATGCAAGTAATATTTACTTCTATTGCTTTCTGATAAAGTTCCTCTGACTCAGCTTTAAGTTCCTTTAATGCTTTCTCCTGTGAAAGCAGAATAGAGTTTATAGTATTTGAATCTTTCAACCACTGATTCAATTTGTATCTGCACCATTCTTTTTGCAATAATGCTCTCCTGTCTATTTCCTCGGGAGATAGAACAGTAACCTTACGTAACCTTTTCCTGTAACATACACAATATGTAATTGCATTATGTACAATTTTGCAAGCAATAGATAAATAATAATGTAACCTACTCTTTTTCCTCGATTAACTTGACTGGTACTTCACATTCATAGATAGGTTTCAATTGCTTAACAATACGTTCTAAACGTTTAATTTGTTTTTCCAATTTCTTTCTTTTCCTATCTTCTCTCATTTTAATAACTTGGGGATCAATTCTTTTTTTCTTTTTAAGTGGCTCTCCTCTACAAAAAAAGATTAGTACAATACATAATGTTTAGAATATTATAATGTTAAAAATAAAGTTAGTAAACATAAAATTTTGATTTACTTACAAAAGTATATTAGTGACTTGAAAATACAATGGATTCGAATATGTGGAAATATATCGCGGATTAACGGCTGAGCACACAGACAGTCTGTATCAATATACAAATGAAATTATAGTTATCAACATATCCAAATATCCTAAACTTTATATATTAATTATTACCTAGCGAAATTATTAAGCAAATGAAATACACTCATCACGTCTATAAAGTTTTTATAAATTACTCGTAACCTCAATAATAGTTTTTCCTGTGATTTTTATAATTTTTGTTTATAAGTTACTTTGTTTTTCAACTTTAAATATTAATAATACAGAGGACGCAGGAAATATCTGGAAATTAATTATGCAAGAAAAACCTCACAAAATGTTCTATTCAAATGTCAACAAATACCAAATAAAATGTACACATTTACGTAAATTGAATTACGTAGATAAGTAAAAAAAAGTCTTAACACAATAATAAATATGATACAGTGTAATATACTAAACTGTACAATAAAATAATAAATGAAATTATTACATAATGAACGAAAAATTTGATCAAAGCCAAATACTACTAGTGTTGCTTTCGTAAAATTGCTTTAAAATGATTTAAATTGCTGAAGACGATCTTATAAGAGATTTTATAAAGTGCTTTAATTTTGAAAAAGTTTAGTTCTAACAATAATATTAAATATATCTGTAACTACTTATGAGCTAATCGAAAGATAAATCCTGTTTAACCTATTCGGAGTTGACCGCTCTGTATTACCCATCGAATACAATTCATGTACAACGATTTTTCACGTACACTATTCAACGTAGTATAACATTAAATTTTGCTATTTTGGAGTCGTAAGTATTAAAATTAGATTTCGTGTGTTATAAAATCAAATATTTGATCAAATTTATAAACTAAATATAAAGAATATCCATACATCTTAAACCTCTTGCAATTCCAGCACGCGCGTGACGCATGCAAATACTGTAAATATGGATGGACATTTCTATAACCTATTTTTAATTAATATCAATTGGAATTTTTAAAATTCAAGTTGTATTAAATAAAATTAGCGCAAATCTCATAATTATAACAAAATAAAAGTAATAATTAATAAAAACATCATGTGTTCGTTAAATGATCTTGGGTGTGATACTTTTGAAATAAGTCAAACAGTGGAAGAAAGTGAAATACAGTGAGTATTTTGTCAGCACGAACAAAACACTTTACATGTATACTGTCATTATTTTTTATCTTTTATAGGACTATTAACTCTACTGCTGCTACCACATGTGTAACAGACATTAAATTATCCTGTAAAAAATGTGGCTCCCAAGAAATTGAAGCTTCATTAAGGGGCAAATCTGGGTACTGCAGAACATGCCTGTTGTCCACGTTGATGCATAAATTTAAAGCCACCCTTGGAAAATCCAAATCAGTTCGTCCAACCGATTCAATACTTATTACTCATTCAGGGAAGGCAAATTCAACGGCACTTGTACATCTTATGACGGATAGTGCAAATGAATCAGCTTCTAAAAGACTTCAATTTAAATATCAAATGCTATATGTAGATGGTAATATTGATCTTTATATTGGTGGTGACTACTTTTTAAAATAAAATATTAATACATTCAATTTATTGTCATACGTTTTTTTATGTGTGCATAGATGGCATGGTAAAAGGATTTTCAACAGAGGAAAGAAAACATATTCGAAATGCATTAGCTAAAGAAGCAGAACAACTACAAATAACAATGTATATAACTCCTTTGACAACCCATACCACTGATATTCTTTGTGAAGAAATTCAGTCGATAGATGCTTTGCGAACAAATATGACTCACAATGATGAATCTATATTACGAGAAATGTTTGATGGAATTGAATGTGAAACAATGAAAGATGAACTCCTGCGACAACTAAAACAAAAAGTATTTATATCAGCAGCTCGCAAGTTAAACTGTAATAAAGTTTTCATTGCTGACACTTCTATTGATCTTGCAATAAAAGTGCTTGGAGATATATCAACAGGGAGAGGTTCTCAAGTGCCCCTAAATGTTGGTTTCTCTGATACAAGGTATATGGATGTAATATTACTTAGACCACTCAGAGATTTTACACAAAATGATATTAAAGGCTATTTGGAATGCCATAATATAATTCCAATTTTTGCATCTGGAAAATCTAATCAGTTATTTCCTGGTTGCATAAGAAACATTGCAAGAAATTTTGTCCATCACTTGGATTCAGACTTTCATGGAACTGTTTCCACCATATATCGTACCAGTGAAAAATTAGCAACAAAAATGAAAGAAAAAAATATTCCAAACGATAGTAAAAACGTTAAAATTATTAATGACAAAGATACATGTATACTTTGTGAATTGACTTTGAATTCCTGCAATTTGCAAGGAGAGCAACTCTCAGTTGTTCAAGCCAGAATATTTTCTGAATTAGTGTCAACAGATGAAGATTTTCCATCAAGCATGAGTTCTAATTTGCTAAATGTTTATAATCAATCAAAAAATAAACAAATGCAAGAAATAAATGATTTAGAAAAAAAAAATTGTCACTGCGGTAATAATACCTGTATTGAATTTAATACATCGCAACGAGAATTAATAGAAGCACACCTCTGTTATGCCTGCAAACTAATAGTTTTAAATTCAAATCAGAAGTTCGATTTATTATGCTCATTTTTATATAAAAAAATTCAAGAGAAACTACAGATAACACGTTTACGAGAAGAAATATCGGAATTCTTATTATAAAAATACTTATTGTAGTAACGAATTAAAGTATTTTATTTAATATTTTGATGATTTTCCTTTCCTACTTCTTCACTTTTTATTTCATCATATTTATAGTGTAACTATTTTCGTTCATGGAAATTAGATTATTAAAACCTGAATAAACGTATATTAAGGTATGTAAGTGAATATAAAGTAATGTCATTGTAATATTATAAACAATTATTCTGAAGACAGTTGCTATATTTAAATTATAATATTTAAACTTAACATTGTTTTCATGTCACATAGTATTTACTATGTTATCCATAACACAGAGCGACATTAGCGTCGCTTGGGAATGAACATTAAAGCTTGTGGATACATCCAGACAGGGTTGTCGAACTAATGAGAGTTCGCGTGCTTCATAGTGACTTTCCCCTCACGGAAAGTTCTGCATTCAAGTTTTGATAGAAATGCTCCAAAGTGTCGAAGTCGATACACAACTGTTATATAAATTTGATTAAGAAGCGATATTTGTGATTGTTCAAAACTAAACACGTAAGACGAAATTTAAAATGTTAAAAAATTTAGATACGCATCATATTACAATCTATAGCTTGTATTCCAAGAAGAATAATTGTAATTATTAGGTTACTAAACGTACATTCATTGACATGTATACACACTCATAATATACAATGTATTTGACGTATAACAATATTTATCCAACCATATTCAACTTTTTCTATACGTGATTTTTATAGAAATAATGATTTCTTTGTATTAAGAAATAATGTTGTGTTATATTTGTATAATTACAAATTGCAAATTAAACTTGTGATTTTCAGAAACATGGCTCATGAAGCTAAACCAAGTTTCTTCCCACATTTATTTGCTCCTGAAGCAGTTGCTGTCGCCAATCTAGAAGAAAGAACAGAGTGCAGTGATTTCAATGTACGCTGGACGGATTGTTTGGCAGCATATGGAATATATAATGGAAAAAAGAAATGCCAAGATTTCTATGATGATGTGGTAGAATGCAATACGGCAAGAAAACGACTATTACGAATGAATTTAATGATGAAAGAACGCTTGGAACAACAAAAAAAGAAAGGAAGAGAATATATATCACTTCCTCGCAAAGATTTACTTTGAATTGTTTATTTAAAATCCATCATTACATTTTAAAATAATTCATAGAGGAGCGTATGTAATATATTACACAATGTATGGAAAGGGTGCATTAAATTATACTGTTAGAAAATATGTATAATTGTATTTCTTTTTAATTTTGCGTGCTTTAACCTTAAATATTCATGTACTCAGCCAGTAGTCGGTAAAAATTAAAAATGTTTCCGTCTAATCTCTGAATGCTGACAATCCTAAGTCAATGAGATGTGAAAAATGATGTTAGGGTAACGTAAATATTTCAAGTAGACTGTCGCTAGATGGCAGGAATATGTTAAATGAAAGAGTGAATGGTATAACACAGGTCGTATGAAGTAGCTTGGCGGGCAGGCGAGTATACGAGCGACAGAAAAAGATACGCTAGCACGACGGTAGGTTGCCGACTTGTTAGGCCGGAAGGCGGGCGCACCTGTCTGTCATCAGCGCCGACTGTCAATCTTACTGACGCTGGCGCACACGACACAAGAACCCGCCGCATTCGTAGTGTTTATCTGTCAGAAGAAACAAGAAATTAATTACAGCAGGAAGCAATTCAGACGGAAAAACGTAGTGTGAACGAACAAAACGCAAGAAAACTACACAGAGATACGCCGGTGAGTTGTCGAACAACGAATCATCGAGTCTGAGAAGAAAACGCGTGAAGGAAAAGAAGCCGCGAAATCTCACCGTGTTATAATTATACAACGATGTGGAGACAGTGTTGCAACTTTTAGTGTTGCTCTTTATTCATCGTTCGTACGTTCGCCTCGACATATTCGTAACCAGTGAAAATCGAATCGGTTAGTTTGTTTGGCGCGAACGTTGCAAATTTCATGATCGTGCATTTCTTCCGTCGCGTTGGTGTAAGCATCTCCACAAAATTGTCGGTCGAAGTTCGTATATTTTTCTCTTTCTCTCTCACTCTCTCTGTTTTTCTCTCTTTTTCTCTCCCTCTCTCCTTCTACCGATTTTTCTCTCTCTCCCTCTTTCTCTCTTTCTCTCTTGCTCTCTCTCTGTCTCTTTCTCTCTCTCTCTCTCTCTCTCGTTCGCTTTTCATAGTTGTAACGCTTCAGAACTATGATTGCTACACGTGCCGGGTAATTTTTAATCACGATAGGAGCAGTGTACTTTCGTGTGTTTAACAGGGTTTTTTCTGTTTGACAGTTGTGCGAGTATTGAATAAACATATCTAATCTACGGGGATATTATTGCTCCGAGTGTGTATAGAACCCTCGCTTTGATTTCATCACTATGGACCATCGCATTGGTAAGTTGAAAATTTTAATCGTACAATTCGTGCATTTATAACATAAAATCGCGATGCGGGTCTTACGGTTTCGATATAATACGGAAAGATTCTGGAAGATATTTGATATTTGTAGTAGATCGAAAATTGTATCGTGGGACGCCATCATCTATGATGGTACAGCGCGTGGCTACCGAGTCAACACGCAGTCAGCGAGCCAGCTATCTGGTGAGGCACGTGGTGGCGCGGTACGGCGCGGACTTGGTTACTTGCACGGGGTTCACTAGTCTTGTCCCACGGAATCCGCTCCTCGTTATAATTACCAACTGTCATTCTGCTTTTTCCGTCGTGCCTTCCATGCTTGCTTGCTTGTCTGCCTGCCTGCCCGCTTGCCTGCCGGCCTACCGGCTGGCCACCGACTCGGTCGTTTTGCGTGCACGCGTACTTATCATACGTGAACGAATATGTTTACACGTGCGCGTTTGTTCCACCGCCGTTGTGACTACTGCTAGCTTGCAATAGTAACATCCACCTACTCCATAGAATTTGTTTTTCTCGTCGCAAAAGACGCATTTCATAAATGGCAAATTTCTCGATTCGTCGAGACGAATATGAGGTTACACAATGAAATCGGTGTTCCGATATGCATAACTTCTTATCTTTTCAATATTACCGAAGAATTTTTATTCATGTTGTCTTATTGCTCAAATTAAATCAACGTTTGCTACAGTAAGGTACGATATAATTTCATTATTTTTTCTTTTTTCGCCGATCGATCGAAATCGATGGAACATTTGTTTCGAATTGACGTCCGAACGTATGAAAAGATGTATGCGTTCGAAAATAGTACGTTTTTTTTTAGCTAGTAAATAGTCGTATTGTTACAGCTTGAAATCTTCAAGCAATTGATACTTGAATGCCGTTCGCGTTAATGGCCGCGACAAA